TGGAGCTGGAGGCAGTGATGTTAGTGCTGTGGAGCGGCTACGAATACAGATGAAGCTTCGAATAGGTTTTCAATTCTTTGTTCTTTCTCTTCTCCTTCTGATACCTCTATGATGCAAATGTTAGTATGTTTGGTGTTGTCCCAGAGGCCCCTTAAATTATTCTCATTTTCTTGGATTCTTTTCTCTTGTTACTGTTCTGATTGGATGTTTTCTGCTATTTTCTAAATCACCGATTCGAACCTCTGCTTCATCTAATCTACTGTCGATTCCTCCTAAGGTATTCTTCATTTCAGTTATTATATTCTTTGTTTCTGATTTTTAAAAGTGTTTTCTATCTCTTTGTTAAAGTTCTGAGTTTATCTACTATTCCCTTAAATTCACTGAGCATTCTTATTACCAACATTTTGAACACTGCACCTGATAGATTACTTGTCTTCGTTTTGTTTAGTTCCCTTTCTGGAGCTTTGTTCTGCTCCTTCATTTGGGACATGTTTCTTTGTCTCCCTGTTATGACTGCCTCCCTGTGTTTGTTTCTAAGTATTAGGTAGGGCTGCTATGTCTCCCGGTCTTAGTAAAGTGGCCTTATATAGTAGGTGTCCTGTGGGACCCAGTGGCGCAGTCTCCCTGGTCACCTTAGCCAGGTGCTTCAGGGCTATGTGTGTCCTGTTGTAGTTGAGCCTTAATTGCTGTTTGCATGTGAATGAGAGGGATTGACTTTCGATATGCTTGGTCATGAGGATTGACTGTGAATACTGTGAAGGCGCCGTTGTGCAGGGCCTGACTCTATAGAGTAAGATTCGCTTTAGCAGGGCTTTGATGCCTGCCCAGTCTACCCTTTGGATGTGTCATCCTCGGACATGGCCCTGTTAATGCACTGTTTCAGGCTGAAGCTGGCCACTGCGCATGCAGGCCAAGGCCTCCTGGGAGGTGCTCTGGTGCAGGCCAAGTTCAGCCACAGCCTATGCCCTGCCTAAGCCCACCTGCCATGAATCACCAAGCAATCGCAGATGGCCACCACCTGTGGTGGGCTTGGATGTGCCTCAAGAGGCTAAGCTCCAAACCGAGACGCTAGTGCTGGGCTTAAGGATGTTCAGATATGGCAACTGCCTGAGTCTGCATGCTGCGAGTGGGGAGGGCTCAACAAAGGAACAATACGTTCTGCTAGAACTTCTGTCAGGAGAAACCCGCCCCTCCAGCGCTAGCCCTGAAGCCAGACAACTCAGTTCCTCCTGAATGTCCCTGGCACCTTTTGAGCTGCTGCCCCAGTGTTGGAGCTCAGAGCGGGTGAGTCCATCAGCAAGTGAGTCCACGTGCAGCCTCCTTAAGAGGCAGCCTTCCGTCTCACTCAGCCACAGTCTCTGCTGGTTGTTATGCCAGAAGTTGTGAGGACTTCTCTTCCTAGCCCTGAAACCCTGGGCTGGGGAGTTTGGTGTTGGGGCTGGGATCCCTCGCTCCTCTGGGGGGATATCCATAGCCAAGATTTCTTCCTGATTTTCAACTGCCATGTGTAGGTGTGGGACCAGCCCATTCTGTGTCTCTGTCCCTCCTACTAGTTTTGAGGTGGCCTCTTCTTTGTGTCTTCAGTTATAGGACTTCTGTTCAGCTAGATTTCAGGTAATTTGTAATGATGGTTGTTCTGTAGGTTAGTTGTAACTTCGATGTGGTTGTGTGAGGAGATAGGCACAGTGTTTACCTACTCTGCCATCTTGACCATACCTGATGTTCCTTTATTTTTGAAGAATCTTAACGAGTTTCAGATGTTAAAAAGTAGGCTTCAAACGGTTAAAAACAGAAATGAATTTTAGGCCCACACTCTGTTTGGCCATGGTTTTGTAATTCCCGGTGTGTGAATCAGCAGCAGAGCAATTAGTCATTGTCATAATATGCTGGTTGAAAGAATGACGTCTAAAGCTGAGGGGCACAGACCTGTCAGTCACACTTGGGGACAGCTGAGGAGAGGTGCCTTCCTTGTGTTTTAGCTGTGTAGCCTTCAGAGGGAGAGAGTGCTCTCCAGGTGAGCATTTGGTGTCAGTCAACTGAATACATTCAGAGCCCCCTGATTCTTTGGCGAGAGGAAAGGAGAGAAACATTTTTTCAAGCAGTTCTAGGTAAAGATTGTGCCTCATGTCTCGGCTCAAAACAACTTTTTTCCTCCTCCTCCTCTTCTTTTTGTTCCACTGGTTAACAATGACACTTAAGTGTGGCAAGTTCTTGACCTCATCCACTGACCTGACAGACTAGTTCAGTAAGTGTCTGTAGTAAGCACATCTAGTGATGTAGGTATGTCTCATTAAGGTTCTCTTTTTAATTCCTCACAGAAAAGGTCATTCTTATATGGCAAGAGATAGAGAAGCTTTGGTGTTAGGTCATGTTAACCTTCCCCATATTTGGAAAAAAGCTCACCCCTTGCCATGTTTTGACTCTGATGCTGGGTCTGCCATTCCATTTGGGGCTACTATCAAAGAGCTCATCTGTCCAGCAGCTGGACTTACATAGGACACAGGTGAGAACTTAGATGTATACAAATATGGCATGTCACTAGACTCATGGGAGACCCTCTTATGCTTTCTTTATACAAAGCAAAAACTAAACTTCTCTGTCAATTCCCTAATGAAATCAAGCTTAGATCATGTTGGCCAAGGAGCGAGACCTTCCAGAAGAGAAGGTACCTGAAAGCTTCAACTTCTATTTTTTCTCTCCTAGCCTTCTCTATTGCCAAACTTGGAAGGCAAGGGATCGATTTTGATTAGGGAGTTGATATTAAACATTATAGTTAGTGGATTATTGCTGTTAGATTAATGGGATTAGCTTAGCTACTGGGTGGCCCAGACGCAGAAGTAGGAGTATAAGCTTTGGGAGAGAAGTGGCCCAACTTCCGTGAGATCTTGGGTATCATCAAGGTAGATCCTAAAGCTCAGTACAACATTGGAATTTGGAAATGTATCACAATATTTGACATGCAAGTGTGTCTTTCAAAGTAGTTCGGGCTACCTAGGGAAGAGCCAATCAATAGGACCGGACAGTCAATTTCCTAGCTAAAAGGGTCTTAAGGACAGAATAACTATCAGGAGAGCTAGAAATGTGCCCAGTAAGATAAATAGGCAACCTTGTGGGCACATTCCTTCCCTTCTTTCAACATTAGGCATGCTGCTGCTTTTTCTTAAGGGTGCCATGCTAGTTTACACTTCTGCGACTGCTCATGTTCATGCCTCAGTCTGGAATACCCTTCTCACCACCCTCTATATTTTTACATTTGAAATCCTACTCGTCCTTTAAATTCCAGCTTAATGGTGACCTTCTTAAAGACTTCTCTGATCCCCCAAGCAGAGTCCTCTAGGTTGGGGGTACATATAGCTTGCAAGGCCTAAAATATTTACTCTCTGGCCCTTTACAGAAAAAGTTTGACAGTCCGTGCTCTAAATATGCACTGTCCAATATGGGAGCTATTCATCATATGTGACTGTTGCACACTTGAAATGTGGCGAGTGCAACTAAAAAGCAGAATTTTAAATTTTAATTAATTGAATTTCAAGTGAAAAAAAAACATTTAGTTTGGTTATGGAAAACTTTTATGTCTGTTGAGAGCAACTTGGGCATACAAATCTATTTTTTCAGCTGTACATTTCATGAACTTTAGAGATGGATCAAGTATTTCCGAAGAAAATTTAATTTCCAATTTGCAAAGTGCCATAAGTGCACACTGACTTCTGAAGACTTAGTAAGAAGAAAAAAGAATGTAAAATATCTCAGTAATTTATATATTGATTACATGTCAAAATAATATTTTGTATATATTGAGTTAAATGCACTATTAAAATTAATTTTACCTGTTTCTCTTTTCCTCTCTTTAATGCAACTACTAGAAACTTTACAATGATGTAGCTTGAATTGTATTTCTTTTAGGCAGCACTGTTCAATACTAAGATTCAGAAACTATAATAATGTTTTATACTGCTGTGAACACATGTGTCTTCTCTAGATTGTAAGTTTCTTGAAGACTGGGATGTAGTTTAAAAAAAAATCTGATTTACATGTCTTACATGTAATAAACACTCAATAATCCATAATAAGTAGAGCTCCCCACCCCCCAAAACTATTCCATTCAAATGTTTCTTCTTGGATGTGTATGGGCAGTTCTTTGGGCTTTTAAAAGAGAAGCTTAGACTGAATTTCAGTGAACTTCAGGGGTTTTAGGTTTGTAACCACAAGTGCATGCTTATTGTAAGATTGATGTCTTAAATGGACTTGTAGAGGGAAAGGTGTGTAATGGAAACTTTTCTCATTATTAAGAATGTATATAAGTTCATCTCTAACTTTTAACCACAGAGGATGCCTAACTATATTATAAAGCAGATTATTGACACATAGGATGCATTTTTAAGGGCTCAGAATTAATCAGATATATCATAGACATGAAAGATAATATATCAGAATATACAAATAATATATCAAATACAATTCAAATTCAACAAATGTTTGTTGAACATTTACATTGTGCCAGGGATTGTTCTAGGCTCTTGGGATATATCAGTGAATAAAAACCAACAAAAATGTTTGTCCTTGTGGAGCTTATGTTCTATTATGTTTATTATAACATGATAAATAAACAACTTATATAGTATGTTTGGAGGTGATTAAATAGAAAAAAGAGCTCAATAAAGGGGATCATAGCTGCAACATGGAATAGGATGTCAGGACAGGACTCACTAAAAAGATGTTATTTGGGCAAAGGCTGATGAAAGTGAGAGATTTATATCCATAAGAGCTATCTGGGGGAAAAGCAGTTCAGACAGTGATGAGTCAATGCCAGGGGCCTGGGTAGGGAGTCCGTTGGTGTCATTAGGGAATAGCAGGAAGGCAAAGCAGCTGGAACAAAGTCAACAAGGGGAGATATGTAGGAAATGTAAACAGTGAGGCAGCTGGGGCCAGATCACATGGGCCTTGCTGGCTACTGTGAGGACTTTGGCTTTTCCTCTGAGAGAACTGGAGAGCCACTTAAGAGAGTTTGTGCAGAGAAACGACCTGATCTGGCTTAAGATTTAAAAAGACCACTCTAGCTGATCTGGTGAGAATATACTAGAGGCTGGCAAATATTCTGTAAAGGGTTAGAGACTAAATATTTAAGCTCGTGGGCTATGCTGTTTCATAACTATTCAACTTTTATAGCACAAAAGTAGCCATAGATAATATGTAAATGAATGAGTGTGGTTGTGTTCCATTAAAACTTTATTTATGGACATCCACATTTGAGTTTCATGTAATTTTTATGTGCCTTTTGATTTCTTTAACCATTTAGCTCTCAGGATGTACAAAACCTGGCAGTGGGCTCTGTTTGGCCAGTGGGCAGTAGTAGTAGTTTGTTAACATGTTAAATAGACTGTAGTGGACAAGAGAAGAACAGTGGAGACCATTTAATAACCTAAGGAAGAGAGATGATGGTAATCCAGATAAAGATGATAGTAAATGGTGTAAGAAGCAGTAGTATTTAAAATATGTTTTGACTCTTAAGCCAAAAAGACTTGCTGATGGTTTGGGTGTGGGGAGAGAAAGAGAAGAATCGAGGAAGACCTCAAGATTTTGGTTTGAGTACCTTGAAGTATGTATTGCCATCAACTAAGATGAGTAAGGCTGTAAGTGAAGTGGGTTTCGGGGTAGAATATCAGGAGTTTAGTTTTGGACATGTTGACTTTGAGATGCCTGTTCGACTTTAAGTGGAGACGGTGAGGAGGTAGATAGATATACAAGTTTGGAATATGAAGCAATGTTTGGTCTGGAGATATACTTTTGGGAATCATTACAAAGAGATAGTATTCAAAGCCTTGTGACTGCATGGAATCACCTAGGGAATAAGTGTAGACAGAAAAGACAAAAGAACCAAGGACTGAACCCAAGGATATCACATCATTAAGAGGTTGATACAAGGAGAGGAAGCAGCAAAAGCCATTGAAAAGGAGCAGTCAGTGAGGTAAGTGGGCATCCACGATTTATAATATAGAGAGATAAAATTAAAATATTCTCATTTAGTTAGAATAACTACCTGTAAAACTTATTGATGTTTAACTGGTTATTTTGTTTGCCACCTTCAAATTTAGAAGGACTTCTTCTTTCGTGAGAAAGTGTATGACCCAATTCTGTTAAAAAGCTGAGCTGATGCCTAATTTTCCTCTTTATTAAATTTTCTTATAACAGAAGCATTTGATATCATTCCACTAATCATAGACTATTTACCACTAATTGTATTATCGATAAAAGTCGATGATGATTCTTCCCTTGAAAAATATTTCTCTATGTTAAGGCCAATGCCAATTTCTTCACTTTGTCCTCTCCTTCTTAGTTAATTCAAAGCAAGCTCAATCAGAGGAAATACCAGCTACTAGAAAACAAATCAGTGATTGTCAACTTCCAGGTTTCTATTTAACATTTACTTGACAGCTCTCGGAAGAAAGCTGTCAAGTAATTGGAAAGCCAAAGTCCTAGAAACAGTTACCTGGTTCTAGCTGAGATCTTTCAAAAGAAGTTTCTAAACATCTCTGTGGAATTAAGACCAACATTAGATGATCTAGATTTTCCAGCCTGTTGGTATCTCCCTAAGCTCAGACCGAATAAATGAACAAATTGAGCTATGTCTTTCAATTAAGTATCACTTAAATTAGGACATCTCCGAGTACCTAAGAGAACTTGGTATAAGACAAAGCTGATCGCCTTAGGTGTATCTGAGAAAGTTCATTAAATAAGACCTTAAAGCAAGTAAGTGGATTAGATGCTTCTGAACATTTCTCCCAATCATTGTTTTTGTTGTGGTTGTTATTAACGTATCAGAAGTTAAAGAGTTTTTCTGGAAATGGTACGCAATACTAAGCAATTGCTCTAAGACACAGCCATATAAGTATGAAACTATTAGCCTCTGCATTTACTTTTCTGCTGACTGGGACGCGTGATCAGAAGCACCAGCCACAGGTTTCTTTCTCGTGATTACCATTTCTACTCCTGAACCATTCAACCATTGCTACTACTATACTCTGCACCTTCTCACTATTTCCAGCCTATGAAGATGATTCTTGAAAAGTTTTTGAATACATCCTAGATGCAGCATCAACTACTGCTGGCCCCTTTCCCCTTTGTCATTGTGGCCTGAGGGGCATAGACATGTTATTTTTAGGACTCAGAGATAGAAAAACATGAATGGTTGGAGAAGAGGGACTGGGACTTGGATAGGGTAGAAGGGTTAGTGTAGGTTGAGAGTCTTCCAGATGGTAGACAGATTATGGTTGCAGGATGAGTGGCTTTGGGAAGAACTCATGGCTGGATGGTCAAAGACCTATGAGTGCCAGAGGTGTGCGCTCACTTTTTCCCTCTCTTTAGAGCTGGGCTACGGATGGTGAAAACAGGTATGATGTCAGGCATCTCCTGTTTCATCTGGACGGTGGCATCAGTTGGTCAGGGTATCTCATTTTTCCAACATTTGTTGAAGCTATTAATACTTCCCCTAGTTCTTCTGTCAGAGTGCTTAAGGAACATTTTTGAGTAATCAGAGAAATATCAGAGAGTGAAGAGAGTGAAATGGTTCTATTTGTTGTTAATAATAAATCTTATGAATCCCATATTCCCACAGATCCACAAATCATTTACCAGTATCTAGTGTGGCGATATCTAAATGTGTCCACTATCATTCCAGAAGCACTTACCACATATTGTCTGGGGAACTGAGGTGGAAAGTAATAAAATTTAAGCAGTGGGCTCGGTTTGGCCAGTGATTGGCTAAAAAGAAACGGGGAAGATACTATATTAATCTTGTTTTTCTCAAACTTTTACTATGTTTAATATGGCCCTCACTGAGAAACTTGAAAAGCCTCCTACGGAACTGAGGCTCTTTTGGACTTTTTTGCAACTTCTTTTGGGCTTAGTGCCTGTGGTGAAAGAAACCGAGTCACAGAATAAGTTACAAATAGGCATTTTCAAAATATTTCCCATCTAATGGACATATTTGTGGTTTTGTTTTTGATGATAAATTTCTTAATAATTAGAATCCTTTGTTTAAATCCCATTATAGTGAATTATTAATACATCATTACATGGTTTCCATGTGACTGAGCTATCTCTATAGCGTGTTGTGACTCTAATCCCCCCAAAAATGGACTGCGAGGAACCATGTGGTTTTTTAAAACTGGGAGTCACAGGATTGAGAGACAGTTAAACCTTTTATTGTGTGCTGTCCAACAGCAATTGCCCATCACCTTCCTAATACCTCTCATCTAAAATACTTCAGTAAATGAAACAGAATATTCCAAATATTCCCAAATTTCCAAAAGAGATTCCAAAATCATACTAAATAGGTGACGGAACTGAAGTTATTTACATAATCTTGGTTTCTCTACTTTGTTCAAAGCTTCACTTTTTGCTTATTAAATTCATATGACAGGTAACAATTAGTTGCTTAAATTTCCCTATGCAACTTAGAGTAATGCATATATGAGAAACAAAAATTATGACTTAATATGATTAGGCTGTTCAATAGGATAAATTATAAAGAGGATTTAACTTTGTGTTAAGCTTACCAGATGTTGTTACGAGGTAAGCACTTTAAAATTCACTGGTTTAGATTTATTACATTCTAAAAATCTAAATTTCATAATGGCTAAATTATTGTAAAAGTCACCTTCAATGTAATATCTGTCTCCCCCTCTTATAACTTTAAAGGCATAATAGTCAACTATCTGCTAAAATTAGCCATTCGGTACCTTTCTTTAAATGCCACATTTTTAATTGTTAATTATCTTAAAGCCTAATATTATTATAATAATTTCCATTTAAATGTCTAAAAAGTATGCACATGATAAAAAAAAAATCGGCAGTACGAAAGAGTACCATTGGAAAAGTTTCCATATATATTAGTCTGCTTGGGTTGCCATAACAAAATACCACAGACCAAGTGGTTTAAACAACAGAAATTTATTATCTCACATTTCTGGAGGCTGCAAGTCTAAGCCTGAGGTGCTGGCAGATTCAGTTTCTGGTAAGAGCACTCTTCCAAGCTTGCTAATGGCTACCTTCTTGCTGTATCCTCACATGTCCTTTTCTCTGCATGTATAGAAAGAGTCTCTGGTATCTTTTCCTCTTCTTATAAGGACACTAGTCCTGTGGGATTAAGGTCCCACACTTATGACCTCATTTAACCTAATTAACCTCCATAAAGGCCATATCTCCGAATACAATCACATTAGAGGTTAGGATTTCAACATATGAATTTGTTGAATTCAGTTTCTAACACTACTCAATACCTAGTCTCAATCTCCAGAGAAAACCACTTTAGCCATTCTTTGATTTTAGTTCTGGTGGTTACTGTAATTCCATTATGTACTTATGCACCTGTTTTTTTTGAACTATAGATATTTAGACAGTATATCTTTTGACTGCATGTAATGATGATTAGGATATTCATTGACTTAACATTATCTTCTAGCTCCCAGCTTAAAAAAATTTTGCCAGTATTAATTTTAACTTTTTCAGTTGGTTGACTTTGTAACCTTAAGAAACAAACTTCCATTTCTTTATTTGTTAACCGCGGGCAGTCTCCCTTCTCTCTCCACTGTGTAAGATAGGAAATTAGCTCCTTTACCATGTCTTGCACCTTTCTGCTCCCCCCACCCCCATCTCTTCACTTTTGTCAGCAATATTATTATTCTAACTTGTCATGGTCCATAATATTTATAATCCATTGGTGAGTATAAGTGAGTCATATACTTTCATTTAAAAAATGGAAGACCGGTAATGTTTAGAGTATTATGGCATACAAATATTCACTATAAAACCAGTAGTGTGTTAGCATCCATTGAGAAGGGAATTATATTATACCTGAAGTACAATTTTAAGTAATTTTTAGAAAGGGGAACTTTAAAAAATGATTCTCATGCAAATATAAAATAAAAAATTTTCAAAGATTTTATTCAACTTTTAATTTAATGAAGAAACCTAAAAAATGTTAAAATTAGTCCAAAAAGCACTTAAAAAGCTAGGTATATATAGGCAATTTACAAGTGTTAGGATTAGACTACTGGGTTGAATGCAACGTAGTTAATGTCCAATGGGCCATAAACCATGCCGGAGTTATTTGAATCTCTATCACATAAAAATCCTTGGGTTAGTTAAGATCTGTCCTTCTAGAGTTGCAAAATAGCCCAGACAATAGGAAGTCAAGCCCGACACCGCACCAAAAAAAAAAAAAAAGAAAAAAGAAAAAAGAAAAAGAACCCCAAAAACAAAAAATCACCTCCAAACCAAAAAAACTCCACAATCCCTCCCCCCCAAAAAAAACAAACCCAGTTATCTTTTTGCTTATTTCCAAGTTTTGAATAATTTGTCTGACATAAGTAAACTTTCCAAGTATTACATCTATAAATATGTCATTGATTCACCCTTACTCTTGGATGATAATTTGGCTGAGTATAGGATCCTGGATATAAAATATTTTTTCCCAAGGCATTGAAAATGTTGCTCCATTGTCTTTTAGTATACAATGTTGTTAATGCAAAGTTAAAGCTCAATCTGATTGTTAATCCTTTCCAATAGCTGACTTCTCTTTTTCTCTTGATTCTCTCTCAAGCAGTTTAGATCTCCCTTTACTTTTGATATTCTGACATTTTATAAGGACTGTTCTACATTTGAGTCTTTCCTTCATCCCCTTTCACACGAAAAAGACACTATCAATCTTTATCAGCTCAGGAAGTTTTTCTCCTGTTTCCCTGGTAACTGTGTTATTTTCTCTAGAACTCTTATTAGAAAGAGTTCTCTAGAACTCTTATTAGAAAGAGTTACTGTGTTATTTTCTCTAGAACTCTTATTAGAAAGATGTTGGGCTTTGAGACTGGTTCTCTATGTCTTTCAACTTTTGTTTCATATTTCACATCTTTCTTTTAACCGTTGATATTTGTTGAGCATCTTATGCAATGTCATTCTAAGAGATTTCTTCTACTTTAACTCCCAGGTCTTCTATTAAAGCTCTTGCTTTGGCAATTCTTTTTTAAATTTGCCAAAACTCCTCATTTTTGGTTACTACTTTTTAAAAAGGTTAGCTTGATTTTGTTGTAGGGCCCAGTATTTTCTCAAATTGATGTTACTAATTAGAATTTAAAAAAATAATATTGTTTCCAATTTATGTCCCCCCCACCCTACCCCCAGGGAAAAGTTCTGTTTGTTCAATTTTGTCTTTTTTTTTTTTATGCGCTATTGATGTGCAGTTAGTTCCCTCAAATGTCTGGTAATTCTTGTGGTTCATTTATATTTTGTTCATTTATATAATGTCAGCAGATGGCATGTATCTTCCGAAGACATCTTTCCCTGACTGATGGTGATGCTTCAGTGTCACTAGCCAGGCTTGTTTTATGACATTCCTGCACCCTTCTGTCTGCCCCAGACCAAGAACTTAGCCCTATCTACAGCTGTCATTCACTTTCTTTAAGGTCGGCGTCTTGATTTCAGCCTGGGGCAAACAATGAGTGTGTCAGTTTTTCTGAGTGGAGTGAGAGGGGATGGGTAGGGCCAAGTGACATAGACTAGTAATTAATTATTCTAATTAGCCTCTTAGTCCTGTGACCTTCAGGCTCAGTGGTCTCTCTGAGACTCTGCAGGGGAGAACACATCCTTCCATAGTTGCAGCTTTATTCATGCAAGTGTTCTAGGCTGCAGCATTGTCTATCCTGTTATTCATTGACTTGAGGCCATAGAATTTCTGTCTTTCAGAAGGCCATCAAAGACTTTGGTCTGTCATTGATGCTGTTCCTCTTGTTCACGGTGTAATTTATACTGCTTTATTGTCATTTCAGTGGAATTTGAAAGAGGAAGGTTAGTGCTGGGACTCAGTCCACCACTTTGAGATGAAACTTTTAAATTTTTTAAAACAGAGCTCATTGCTACCAAATAAGTATCACTCTACTTTGTTATGATACATTCTTTTCCCAAAGACTTCAAGCAGTTAGAAGTATTTGTTCACAAACCACTATCGTTTTGTTCTCATAATTACAGTTTTTATCTTTTTGCCCTTACTTATACCTTACTGCCACTCTCATGCGCTGCCCTATAATATACACTCTTTTTCTAATTGGCTGCTTCTGATACACAGGAGATCATCCATAAAGCAACGGTCAATAAACTTTGAGAATGTTTTACGAGATACTCCTTTGAGCAACATACATAAACTTTAGGACATGAATATTGTGACTCTTATTTGGACTGGCCTGAGGTCATTTATCCTCACTGATCTGCGTCTATCTTCAGATAGTTCAAAGCCGCCAGATAAAATGAACTCTGACTAGGTCTTATAGATTTATTATCTTCAGTTCCTAGTATCAATACTAATCATATTTTCCCCTTAGCCATCATTGCTTGTCAGTGCATCATAATTCTATGTTTTTTTCACATAAAGACCACTCATAATCAAGATACAATATTATACTTAAGTTATTGATAGCAATAATTTATTAATATGGATTTATTAGTAAATGTGCCATTGTTTTTTCCCCTATTTTTAGTTTTAACACATATAATGGTAACCCTAAAAGAAGCTCACAAATTACAAAAATCAATACTCTAGGACTCAGCACAGTCATTTCCTAGAAAGAAAATTTATTTCATGTTGTGAATGCAAATTTTAGTAATGATTCTGTTAAAGTTACTTTCTTAGGACTATTTCTAAAGCATTATTTCAACTACTTAAGATAAAACACATTTATCTATCAGAATGTGATATTTTAAAATGTCACAGGTGAGAAACTAATTGCCAAAAGGTGACACATTTGTTTAATTTCATTAGTTACAAGTGGACTGGTGGATAAGTTATTTTAGGTGTCCATAATATTTCTTTTAAGATATCCGAGTCTCAGTGATAATCAGGAATGGGTATGGCTATAGAGACATTTCAGGTGAGTCAGGGCCCAGGAATCCCACTCCGCAGACTTAAAACAACAAAAGCTCTCAATTCATGGCATGCTTTTAAATAATGGTGTGGTTCGTGAGCACTGAGAAGCAAAGACCATCTCTGCTGGGGATGAAATTAAAGGGCTGTCTTGATGGGTAACTTGGAGAGTACATCTATAGATGAAGATCCTGACCATTTTAAGTAATGGGGCACTGTTGGGGAATACAAACTTTATGTCCAGTGATTAACAAGGTTGGAAAGAGCGGGTAGATTCAGAGAGAAGAAACTTCTCTTGATACTTTTAGTATCAATTGTGGGTTAGAAACAGCTAAGTAAAGCAACCAGTCCCTGAAGACAAGTTAAATGTTTTCAAGTGAATCTGTACGATGAAGCAGTAATTCTAACCAAAATTTGCAAAATTACCTTCTATTCTATTCTATGAATACTGATCTGTTTTTGGCCTGTTCATTATAACTATATAGATCTAATAATTAGATGAGTGATTTAGATCCAGCCCAGTGTGGTCAATAGAAATTTTAGTACATCATAATCAAAAATGAAACAAAAAATACTTCATGGGTCATATGTCTAGGCTCTAAAGAGGAGATGGCAGCCCTATAAGATAGAAAAAACATTTTCTTTTTCCTTAATACTTTTCTTTCTCTTTGTTGTGGAAACATGTTTTAAGGGAAAAGGATATATAGAGAGTTTTAAAACTAGAAGTGGCCGTCAAGCTCTTTCATTTCTACAGACTTCTGAGGCCCAGTGATTTTCCCAAATTCCAAGAGTTACCTGGTATCCAGCCTGCTTTATTAATCACTGGGTCATTTAGTGTGCTCTGCTTATAATTCCTACTTATTGCTACTTAGAAATATTTCTCAAGTTCTTGTCTTTTATGCTATGAGACTAGCCAAGAAGAGCAATTCTTTGGACACATAAGCTGAAATCTTGCCAGTTTTCTGGGCAACACGTAACAGTCGGGTTACATCAGGTAGACCTTTGTGAAGAGATGATTAATAGTTGCAGAATCTGAAAAAAACTCAAAGCTAAGCCTTTCCTCTCTCTCGTGTCTCATGATTGTCATTCCTTGCGTGATGACCTGTTTGACTGTTCAGTTTTGAGGAACTCAAACTCTCTTTGGTTGTATCAGGGAACAGGAAGCTGGACAGAGCCACTATGTGGCTGATTTTATCTTGTAGTCACCAGTCAAGTTCATAGCATTTGCTAGTTGCTGAATCTTTAGTATGACATGCTATATAAAAATGGGAAGCTCAGTGTTGACATGGCTCAGCTGATATTTGCTGATATTTGTTGAGCATCTTATGCAAATGTCATCTGTACATTTAGCATCAAGCAAGTCTTCCAGAACGTATAGATTATTTTGATATTACCTGGGATTCAGACATATTTGTAGCATCTCTTCCTCTTGGGGGGCAATGATTAGGTTAATGCTAGTCCCTCTAGAGATGAACCCTTGCCCCATGAAACGTCACCTGCACAAGAGTTAGGTCAGCTGTCTTGTGTGTGTCACAGAGTTGGAATGCATGTTCAAGAAACCAGTCTTTTATAAGTCCCCCTACCACTGCAAGTAGCGTAGGGTCAGCTTACAAAACTGTTTGTTTATACTCTTTTGAGATTTGGCCCTGCTTCTTAGGGGTTAGATGGGAGTGTTCAAGAAGTTCATAGTTGTCCTGCATGTTGGGGAGATTTTGCATCGTATTTTGGGTCACCTTTTGGACCTGAATACCAGTGCTGTTCTTTGGAGAAACTCTCTGGCCCCGGTATGCCTGAGCCTGGCGTTTACAGATGCCAAACTTGCTGAGCAGGATAAATACATCTCGCTGGAAGGCCTTGGTGAAAATAGCATAGAGGAATGGATTGGCACAGGAGTTAAGTGGATAGAAGAGAACCAGCAAGATTTTGGAGTTGCTAACAGTGATAAGAGGCTTGTTCATAAGTGCTGACAGTGCATAAAATGAGATTGGGGCCATGCACATGAAGTCAGTGAAGATCAACACAGCCATCCTTTTGGCAATTTTGGTGTCTTTGTCCCCTGGGTTGTACTGGGGATTTCTGACGGTGATGTAGATCTTCACGTAACAGAAGCAGACAATGATAAAGGCAACTATGTTGAGCAACAGAACAAGGATAATATATGCCAGGGCAAGAGGAGTTTCGGTGTCCATGGGCAGGCAGATGCTGACCTTGGCATAGCTGCTTATTCCCACCAAAGGGAGCAGGGCAAGCAGGAAGCAGCAAACCCAGCCCCCAATCATGATGGCATATGCATGCCTGAGGCGGATTTTCCGGTCCAGGCGCATGGCGAAGGTGATGGCATACCAGCGTTCCAGGGTGATGACTGTCAGCGTATACACTGACAACTCGCTGGCAAAGACAGTGAAGAAACCAGCTGTGTTGCACCCAGGGCCTGTCTGCCAGTCGATGGCATGGTTGTAGTACTCAGAATGAGTGTAGAGGTCTACAGAGGCAATGAGGAGCAGATACATCCCCATGCAGAAATCTGCAAAGGCCAAGTTGCACATGAGAAAGCGTGGGACAGTCAGTTTGTAGTGGCTGGTGAGGAGGACAGCCAAGACGAAGACATTGCCCAAGAGAGCCAGCAGACTGACAAACCATACCACAATTCTCAGGAATTTGTAGCCCATTATGTCTTCACAGGGGTTGAACTCATCTGACTTGGGGGTACACACCATGTCTTCATTGTCTCCACACACGGTATAGTCATAATGGCTATCAAAGGCCTGTAGGGCCTCTTCCTGTGGGTTTTTGAGCTGCTGGCCAAAACCAATGATCTCATCTTCTTGTTCTTCAAAGAAGACGTAATAATGAGAGTTGCCGTGGGCATCCTGGAACTTGGAGTTTTCCTTGTGCCCAGCACTGCTGTCACTCAGATCCTCCTCATACTCCTGGTAGAAGGGACCGTTCAAAGCATTCACAGATTTTCTCTGACGCAGGCTTCGAATACTGCTCTCATTACACATTAAGGACTCAAGGATTCTGCAAGGCAACAGAAATAAGTCATCACTTGCTGAAAACCCACAGATGGTCTTCATAACAATTAGCAAAATGTGCAGAATACTTACTGTGATCTACATGGTTCTACAAGATTCTTCATGACCTAGTCAGGCCCGTTTCTCTCCTATGTCATTTCCTATTACCTTCCCCTTCCCTGCTATGATCCAGTCATGTTGGCTTTTATTTCTCATCTGCCACCAGTTCAAGAGCAGTAGTGAGAGAAAAAGCATGGATGCTGGACCTGGCTCTCCTCTTTCCTAGCTATTTGACCTTGGGCAGATCTATGAACCTTGGTTTATCCCATTTCTAAAATGGTATCATGGAAGTATCTAGTCCATATGGAGCTAGTAAAGGATTAGATGAGTTTCTTTTTAAAGCTCTTACACAGCACCTGGAACATTGTCAGTGCCATATATGTTGGTTACTGTTATTCCTATTCGAAGCTTTAGAAATCTGTGTTCCCTTTGCCTGAAAATTCATGACTGCTTCTACTCATTATGTAGTGTGAACTCAAATGTCTCTTTCTCAAAGAGACCTTCTCTGATATCCTTAAATAAATTGTCCTGTCCTTGTGTTTATTTCCTTCATAGCACTATCTGATATCTTCTTATTTGTCTGCTTGTTTGTTTTCTGACTTCCCCTAGTGGAATGTAAACAAAATGCAAGAGGGCTCATGTCTGTCTTATTCATTGCTATGGATAAGACAGTGCCACGCACATCGTAGGTGATCAATAAATATTTATTGAACACACTGTCGGCATGCTTATGGCATGCTCATGGAAGTAAGATTTCATTGTTTGCTAGCCTACCAGATGACATCAAAAGGGATTCTTTAACTTGCTGCAGCTGATGAGCGGATGTTGATTCATCTATTGGGCTCTGGTTAAAATGCCCAATAGGCTGCCTATTACAACCTGTTTGGAGGTTAACGAGAAATCTTGACCCTATCCTTGAAGTTCATTTTAACCTCCCACCCATCCCTGGTCCTTTCCTATTCTGGGCCACCTGGCGTCAGTATAAAGCTTGCTATCACCACCCGCATATCCTACTTCTAGTTTTCTGCAGGTGTCATGCCTGTATTGGCCTAGTGACGTTCTTGGCACAGCTGTTCAACTTTCCAGTTTGCTTCTGCCTCCACTACTGGATATCAATTTATTTATGACTGCAAGTATGAGTGCAGAAAGTCAACCACTAGATATTATATAGAAACTGAGAGAGTGAATAAGTGATAAATGAAGGTGATGTAAGGAGAATGGCATTGCACGAGACACAAGAAAGGAAGATGATGCAGAGTAAAAGTGTAGGTGAAGATTAGATTCAGAGAACACAGAGAGAGAAGAAGAAGGCCATCCTTCTTTTGCAGTCTTGCATGCAGCCTAATAATAAAATAATACCTATTGAGAACTTATAATATTCCAGGTCATTGTGATAGGTATTTTCTATTCAGTTTCTCATTTAACCTTCTCAAAACCTCTGCGAATGACAACATTATGATCTCCATTCATAGAAGCTCAAGGAGGTTAAGTAAGTAGGCTGGGATAACAGGAAGTGGCAGAGATGGGGTACAAACCCAGCTGACTCTAAAACCCACACATGTCACCAGTGAGCTATGATATTTGCAAAGCCTAATTGACCAGGTAACTCCATTGCTTGTGTTTTTAAGTTTGTCCTCATGGTTGTGGCATGTAATATATGTTGTAGTATTTAATATATGTTGCATCTCGAGGCCAGGACTCATGTAATATCATCTCTATAAGATTCTACATGATTTGGTCATTCCTGTCTGTCCTATGTCATCTATTCTCCTCCCCTCCCCTGCTGGGATCCGTTGACATTGGCCTTATTTCTCATCTGCAACCACTTCAAGTCTGCAGAGTCATTGTGTCCCATGGATTTCATATTTCTTATGGATGCTTCCAATTCTTTCTACCTGGTTTTTAAACTATGAAGCTTCTTCCCCAAACCCAGAAATTAATTTGGCTTCCACCAAGGCCTTTTGTTGCTTGTTCCAGACACCTGCCACTTACCCTCTGATTTTCTTCTGATTCTTAAAAGCGCAACAGTGGCTTGGATAAGAAAGGTCTGCCCGTGTGAGGTGAAGGAAACTCAAGGAAAGTGGAAGTTTCTTTAGAGTCCAGGTGTTTCTTGCTATCAATTCTCTCAAGTGCTCCAGGCCTTTGGATGGCAGGGCAGTAACACTGGTGTAGGAGACGTCCCTGGGAGGAGAGAACAAAGTAATGCAAAGAGGCAGTGAGCAGCCAGAGCCTTCTAGTTCTTGGACAGAAAAGTCAAACATGCTCCTTTCTGCTACTGAATGTGCACTCTGAGTTCTTTACATGCAGCCACTGGTCTAAGGAGAAATATTAGTTTTCTAAATTGATAGGTTACAAGTGACTCCTATTTTTATTGCTTGGAACTCCGCTATCCATCAATACAAATAATAATTTAGCAGACATTTTATTTTATCCATCGCAATACATACAAACTCTTGGAATCGGAAACAGATGTCAATTCTACTCTGGAAAACTATACTGTATATCTATTAAAAGGTCTCAAGAGGCAAGAGGAATTTATTTGAATAGGCTCAAAGGAGCCAAAATTGTTCTCAGTATCTGTATTTTGGGATTCATACACTGCTCACTGATTGGGATCAATACCAATATCATGAAAATCTTCTCCTAATGATGCAGAACTTGGGAGTCAGACCAATTGCAGGGTAAATCCATGACTCAGAACAGAGACTCCCAGAGTTTTTTGTTTTGTTTTTAGAAGGCTGTAAATGTGTTCCTGGAAAGAAAACTCCAATATTTACATTAATAATCTGAAATGAGATTCCAGTCCCTTCTGAAAACAATGGGGAAAGTGGCTGGAGACTATGTGAACATTTGTGTTACTTACTAAAGCAGAATTAATTCAAGGCTTTTAGTGTGACAGTTCTATTTCTTTGTTCAGTCCCAGAGAGTCCAGGATATATATCTTGCTCCTTCATTTTTAATTGCATTAAATAATAGCTTGAATAAGACCATGGATATTTAAACTAATATCTCTCATTTTTTTATCAGTTAAAATATTTGCTAAATATTCCTTATATTGTTATATTTTATATTTTTTTGCAATTACATTTAAAAATATTTATTATAGTTATTAGTGTCTGATTAGCAAGTAAATTCCAATATTTACAACTTCTTCCTCAGCATCACTGTAATTGGATTTAGCTGGGATTTACATTCTCAGATTCAAGGCTATTAGAACTTGCTATTCCATTTTTATAAACATGAAGCTCGTGCATTAACTGCATTCTCACCACAGAACTGTGATTCTTAAGGAAGGGTGCCACGTTTGCTATTTTGTTTTACATTTAATTTAAAAATTCCATAATTCAGCATTTCTCAGACTTAACTGGTAGTAAGAATTACCCTTGATGTTTGTTCCTGTATGATTCCGAGGCTATTTTTTAACATTAAGAAAGTACGTTTGAGAAATTGGCACAAACGAACAACTTGCAATTAGGGACAGAGTTGAGGGATTTTGGAACCAAACTTAAGCACAGTGGTGAAGTACATGAAGCTGGACTTTGCTCTCCTGCCTCATTTGTCCTTATGATGCATCTCTTTCTCTGTTAGTCATGCTGTCTTCAAGGTGTGGCCATCTTTCTGCCCCCAGTTTTCTGGAAGCAACTTATATGTCTCTTTATCAAGTGATGTTTTCATGTCAGTGTTGGATACACTGATTGTGTGTGTTCATCTGAGTCTATATTTTCAAGTAATGTGTTTGCATTTTAATATCTATTTCTTGGTAAAACATTTTAATAACCATTCCAGTAATTGTGTGACAAAACACCTCAAAACGAAGTGGCATCAAACAACAACCTTTTTACTATAAGCATAGCTTTTGTGGGTCAGGGATTTGATCAGGGCATGGTGAGGATGGCTTGTCTCTGCTCTGTGATGTCTGGGGCTCATCTGGGAAGACTTGAAGGCTGGGGTGACTCAATGGCTGGGGGCTGGATTATTTGCAGGTGCAGTGCCAGGACTGAGATGATTCAAAGCTGAGCTCAGCTGGGAGTGATGACGTGGTCTCTCCACGTGGCTTCAGTTTCTCACATCATGGCAGCCAGTTTCTGAGTGAGGGCATCCTGAGCGGGAGCATCTGAAGAGATAATGTTTCAAGAGAACTGGTAGATTCAAAGGCAGGGGACATATAACCCACTTCTCAATAGGAGGAGTGTCAAAGAATGTGATGCCTAATTTTAAAACTGCCATAGTGATCTCAGTGGTTGGGATATCGTTGAGGCAGATATTTGGTGAAAGCTGGTAGCTCGCCATCCTACAAATCAGTATTTCTGGTTCAAGCACCCCCCTGGACAAGCATCAGAAGCACCTGCAATTCAGACTCCTGACCCACACCCCAAGCCAACTGAATTATAATTTCTGATGGTGGGGCCCAGGAATCTACATTATTTAAGATGCTCTCTAGGTAATTCAGAATCTCATCTCTATTCTCAGCATTTTTATGAAGCAGGTGGACACTAAAGTTAAGACAAAGAAACAAGGCATGTTGTGTCCAAAGACTGCAAACCAAGAGCAGAACCATCACCGTAATCTGAATTCAGAGTTCTTAGGTTCAGCGTCCTAGAAGCTTTTCTCTACCTCATACCTTCAGGTCTCTGCAGTCTTTGAACCCAGACCTAGGTGCAGCAACCCTCCTGGGGCTCATTTTGGAATCTGGGAGGAGGAATCGATTTTATGGTTTGTGTGAGCATCTGCAATGAGCGTATCCCAGGTGGCTTCTAGTTGGGTCTCAATGAGGCTGAATTGGGAGGGTGCCTGGGCAGACATGGAGAAAGCAGGTGTTGGAAATATTTATAAACTTATGACAGAAACCTCTGCCACATAATGGGTCCTTGGCATATAGAAGGTGTTCAGTGAATGTTAATTCTCTCCTTGCCTCAATTTGGAGTTTAATGAGCTCAAGTGAGAAGCAAAGAACTCAGCAAATACAACTCTAGTCCAGATCTTGACTTATATAGCCAATTGCTTATTTGATCTCTTCACCTGGATGCCTCACACATCTCTAATCTAACAGGTCCACCCCAAATTTAGCTTTTGATCTCCTCACCCCCACCTCGACCTGCTCCTCCTCCACTTAATCTAGCAAGAGAACTGTGGATTTGAACTCTACAAGACTCTTGAATACATGTATTTGCATCTCCACCGTAAGCTCTCTAGTTCAAGCTAACATCATCTCTTGCTGCAATAGCTTCCTGGTTGATTACCCTTAATCTCTTCCAGTCCATTCTTTATACAGCAGCCAAAATAGTCATAAAACATCAGTGGAGTAAGGCCACTCTCCTGCTCACAGCCTTCCCAATGTACCATGAAAAATATCTACGCTTCCTACTGTGCCCTTCAGGGTCCTACAGATCTGGACCTTGTCTTTTTCTCTAACCTCATCTCAGTGGCCTAAGGCCACTTACAACCCAAATTAGAATCTATTTGAATTCATCTTACTACCCACTGGCTTGAGCCCAATTTAAAGGTTCTAAATTATCTATTAAGTCTGCTGCTCCTAAAATGCTCTGAGGTACTGCTGTCTTCAGGGCCTGCTTTGAAGAAAGCTGCTCCAGGTGAAGGTTCCTCCACTCACACTACTTCAGTCAAGTAAGGGGAACAATTACTTTTCCCTGGTTTTTTGGATTTGACCTCCCTTGCAGAGATCTGATTTTAATCAGACCATCTGGGTGTCATCAGAAAGGGAGGAAGGGGCTCCTGTATACCACCCAATGAATGTAGCCCTGCCTATCCGCTCAAAATATCCCAGTAGAATGTTTCTTCCCTCCAAGTCTACTGGTATTTCTTTATTTCCTGAATTTTGTCCAAACTCTTCCAGGGCTCGCATCCTCATAGTCTCTCTTGCCCTTGCCATAACTATTTATGATAAAATGCAATTGGGCTAAACCCCCTGATCAGATATCAGCTGAGATGTTTATAGGTCTCCTGTCTCATGGTTCTCATTATTACCACCTTAATTTAGGTCTGGATTGTATTTCACCTGAGTTTTGCAAAAACTTCCTGACTGGTCTCCCAGAAATTCTACTAATCCCACCTTCATATTTAGGACAGAATGTTCTTTCCAAAACCTGGATCTCATCATATTGCTTCCCAGTTTGAAACTCACGATTCCTTCAATGTCTACAGAATGAGGTCGCAGCTTCTTAGAAGAGTATCCCCGCTTCACCCCAGTGAGAGTCTCTTTCTGAATCCCGTGCCATCTTTCTTGATTTTTTCCCCTCATTTTGCTGGAACACATTTTCTTAGAAAAGCCATATGAGGGATGTATTTTCTGAGTCCTTGAAAGTAACTGCCAATTTGTACTTCCCTTTACCTTTTCACCCAGCCCCCTTATTTCCCTCCCATTAAATTCAGTCTACCTGGATTGGAATCCTAGCTTCCGCACTTCCCATCAGTCACAGTAAACTATGCGCCTCAGTTTCCTTAGCTTGGGTTTGTTGAACAGTAACTGACACTGTGTTCTCAATAAATATTAGCTATTATTATCATTATTGTTATAGAAATGAAACATCTTCTCAGATTTATCTTAGGTCACTAATTGTTGCTTTGTTAAAAAATTTTTTCCATTCTCTGCAACGTCTTTGATCCCTTCAGGCTCATTTCCCTCCCCCACACCCCAACACATCTGTTTATCTCAATTTCGATCTTTCGTGTCAGAAGCTTTCATTGGCTGGTGATCTTTGGTGGCACATTCATGCTTAAGAGTGAGGCACTGAAAATCTGATTGGGAGCTTGTCCACTGGCAGACTTTGCTTTAGGACAGTTGTGTAGGGAGCTGGCCATTATGCTGTTGGATCTTAAAATGCCAATGTGGAGGTCTTTTTTAGAGTTTTTCATCATCTGCAGGACAAAAAAAACCCTTAAATCTCCAGCCTAGAAGGGAAGTGCTTGGCTGCTGGCATTTTGCATGAATGGGGTAGAAGGTTCACGTTTTCCAGCCATAGACCTTTAAGAAATTCTTCTGTTTTTAGCCTCATGTCTAGTTCTTGCCACATGCCACACCCATCGCCTCTAAATCCCATACCCTTTAGGGGTTCTGTAGGGCAAAACAGCTGCCTCTCTATGCTCCCTGTGGATACTCTAAGTTTCACCTTCCTTCTCCTCTGCCTTTTTCTCTTAAGAATTCTGTAGTTCTCAGTGTGCCC